CATGATTCTGTGACAACAACCAGCGTGGGACCAGTGCAAACAGAAGCACAGCCTTTGTCAGCGTGAGGGGGAACACACAGACCTGCACACACTTCATTAGGGGAAGGTACTTGATTAAGAAAACCCAATAAAGGAAACTCAGAGGAGAGATTTTTCTTTGTGTCCCAAGTTAAAACAACAGACACAGACCAGAAGATTTGACATGAAATCAGGATTACACATGGCAAAGTGGAATTTCACATCCCCTTTAAGACATGGTTCCTGTAGTTTATACTTGCCTTGGAATATAATCTGAAACCTTCACTGTGCCAATGTTTGTTAAATTCCTCTTCTGACAGCAGGTTTTTTATGTTTCATCTCAAAAAAAATATTTCCTTGCCTTCCACTTTCTGTGTCTGAGCCCCTGTAATTATTTCTGCTCTCACTTAGCAACTCCTCTGACCCTTCTCCACCTCTGCTCTGTCTTTGCAGCTCCTCCCAGTGTCACTTTAGTTGTGATTTTTCTGAATATGCCAAAACAGCTCGGGAGGTGTTAAAACAGGCTGCTCTAAATATCAGCTCTCAGACTTTGGTACGGTTCATTTTCTCTTTGCTGATTCTTCGCAGCTTTACAGTTGGGGAAATGGACTCTGAAGCAGGTGATTTACTGCATGGTTCATTATCTGTCTCCATGTCTCTGCTTTTAACCCATTTTTGGTCCAGCAAACACTTTTTCCGCCCTTCTTTCTCCTCACATTGTTAAAACACAAACAACAAACCACTTTCCCCTTTTTCCACTGGTTGTAGGAGATGTTTTAGCTTTTATTAATCCCTGCAACCTTTTTTCCCTCCCCCCACATTTCCCACTTTCACTTGGCTTTCTTTTCAGTGTTTGAATATTTAATGGTTAAATTTTCCATGACAGTAGCTGGAAGCAAGGCAGCACTTTCTGTGGTTCCCTTTTTTCATTGCCACAAAAGATCTCGAGTTCCTTCCTGAAGGAATGACTTGCACAGGTTCTCCACAGTGAATAAAGCTGTAAGAAAATAAAAAAAAGTAGAACTTACTGTGTTAACACTGCAGATTTAATGAGTTTTTATTGCACAGGAGGAGGACATCGCCGTGCAACAATGAGGCAAATTCCCAAAGGATTAGGTTAGCTGGGTATTTCTGGAAGCACAGCTCTGGGGAGCAAAAATACAGAGGGATAAATAAGAGGCAGGGATGGATGTTCATAGGGATTCAGGGAGTTATTAGGGTTGGAAAAGACCTCTAGGACTGTTGATGCAGCACCTCCACCACGTGTCTTTTGAACACTCCCAGGGATGGTGACTCCACCACTGCCCAGGGCAGCCTGTGCCACTGCTTGAAAACCTTTCCCATCAAGAAATTTCCCTCATGTCCAAACTAAACCTCCCCTGGCACAACTTGGGGCTGTTTCCTCTTGTCCTGTCACTTGTTACTTGGGAGAAGAGGCCAAACTCCACCTCACATATTTTTTCACACTTAGACAGGATTCTCTATTGATTTTGGCTCTTGACTGTTTGTCATTCCAGCCTAATTCCCTGGATTCTGTCCAGGATGACAGAGCACAGGGAAGCTGCAGGTCTGGGGAAGGAGCTGCTTCCCCACATCCCTGTTTCCATCCTGCCAAAGGATGGGGCAATTGCTCCACCTCTGCCATGGCCCTTCCCTGCACCCCCTTGCTGCTCATTTACCCTGGGGGTAAATCACTTGGGTTGGATGGAAACTCTCCAAAAGGAGGCTTTTCCATCTGGAAATGCTGATCAGGCAGGATTGAAGTGTTCCATGGAAAGGGTTTGATTCTGTCAAATCCTTGGGAAAATCAGTGGGAACAAAGCCAGGCTTCCTCCACCCCTGCCAGCCCACCCATCTGCCTGGATATTCCTGGACTTCCTGGCTCTGTGGGTACAAGAATTCCCAGCTGGTGGGTGAGCCCAATGCCCCAGCCAGGCCAGCAAAGAAAAGCAGCTCCTTTACAGCAGGAACAGCAATAATTAATCCATGGATTAATTTAATAATAACACTTATTCATGGAATGAGTTGGTTACGTGACCTGTCAACCCCCAGTGACTTCCCTGCTCCATGTGAGGATGTTTCAGGCTCTCCCAGAGCTGCAGAGGAAATCCCAGGATGGAGGTCACAGGTAGGAAGGGCCTGTGAGTGGACAAGATAGGGAGGATCACAGAATCCCACATTTAGGTTGGAAAAGAACCCCAAGACCATCAAGTCCAGTCTGTGCCTGATCCCCACTTTGTCCCCCAGCCCAGAGCACTGAGTGCCACGTCCTTCCTTCAACACCTCCAGGGACGAGGACTCCAAACCTCCCTGGGCAGCCCTTTCCAATGTCTAACCCCCCCTTTTCTATGAAGAAATTTTTCCTAATGTCCAACCTAAACCTCTCCAAGTGCAGCTTAACACTGCATCCTCTCCCCCTGGGGTGGGGGGGACAGAAAGGGAATCTCAGCTCAAGAGCCAAATTCCTGGGTACTCACAAACCCTCCAGGCTCCGTTTCTGTAGACCCCAAAGAGGCAGTGGGGACACCACCCACCCTGCCCCGAGCTGCCCCTGTGCAGATGGAGCAGAGTAGCACCTCACACTGACCGAGGGCCGCAAAGAACCGCTCAGAGAATCAGCCGAGGAAACCACCTGTCACTGCCTGTGCTGGCAGCTGGGGACAAAAATAGCCTCTCTTTGTGACACTGCTGCTCTCTGCACCTCCTGGCTCTCTGCAGGACCTGCCCTGGCCCCAGCTGGGTGGGCAGGAGGTGTCCCAGTGCCTGTCCTCACCCCACAGATGTGCTCCTGTCCCCAGGGGGGATGGTTGCAAGCAGGGGGCAGAGGGGAAAACAGCCAGCACTGGCTGTGAGAATATACTTCTACAGTGGTTCAGTAAATTATTCAGGGGTCTGGTACAGTGGCCAGTGAGCCCACAGAGCTGTGGGAGTCACGTTCGGGCTTCTGAACAAAACAGAAGCTCCTGATACCTGGGAGAGATAGAAGGGTTGGTTTGTCCTTGTGTGACTTGCAACTGATAACGAGGCGTGTCCTGGTGACAAAATAGGTGTCCTGGAGATAAGATGGGTGTCCTGGTGATAAGATAGGTTGGTATGAGATAGATCAGCGTGGGGATATGATGGGGTGTTACGTGGTGTTGATCAGACATGCTTGGCCACCAACCAGCACTTTGTCACGTCTCACGTTATCGCTGCGGGTGCTCAGAGGGAAGATGAGGTTCATCTTTTCCCTTGCAACATGCAGAGTGAAGGAGTCAGGAGAGCTTGAAAGGTTCAGGTAAAACAGAGGGAGATGGGTGAGTGGAGAGAAGGAGGTAAGGAGAGCTCAGCAAGAAGAGAGGGTTTGGGGAAGATTTGGGGAGAGCAGCATGAGCCACAGAGTCTTCTGGCATAACCTCAAGGGATCTATGTCCTGTCTGTCAGGGTGTGGATACACACACTCACTTCAAATCATCTCCAACTAAACCAGAGGCTCCTCTGGGAATTCGACTTTTCTGGTACTTTCCTTCAGCCGTGCTGAAAATTTAACAGGAGAGATCATTTCAAACCAGAAGATGGATTTGTTTTGAGAGCAAGGTCTAAGCAAAACGTCTTGGCTGTGGTTCTCAAGTAGAAAACACATCGAACCTTCCCTTTTCCAGCTTTCTCTGGGAAGGGAACACGACAGAGAGAATAATTCTTTTCCTGTCTCTGCCACTGACTGAACAGCAACAAGGCAGTTTCTCCCCTGATACCTGTTTTCCTCTCTGCTGGCAGGGATAACATGTCCTCAGTTCAGCACACAGGACAAGCTCACAGGACTGAGGGAGAAAATGCTTTGGCACATAAATAGTTGGTGTCACTGGAGGCTTCAGTCCGAGCAAGGAGAGGGGAACACTTGGCTTTCATCAAACCTGGGTTCTCTGAACAGGCTGCACCAGAGGTTAATTAATTCAAATCCCACACCTGATGCTCCCCAGGAACCTTGTCTTCAGACCAAACCCACCTCCCTGCAAGGCTTTAGGTGGTGGCTGTGCCCCTGGACTGCAGCTGCTTGCTTGGCCTCAGGACAAGGTGCTGTGTGTGAGCTGCTGTGTGGCTTCTCAGACGCCAGGAGATGGTGACAGATAAGCTTCTGTAGTCACTGTACCTCGGGGCTCACATCTTCTGCTTCCTCTGTTTCCCCAGCCCTCACAACCACCCTGGGCTCTGCAGCAGGGCAGGTCAGAGTCACCCCCACCACGGGTGATCCCCATCTAGGGGCAGGGTCAGCCAGGAGGGTTCCACGGGGGGCTCAGCTGAGCTGCGAGAGAGCTGCAAGAAAAAAACTCCATCCCTGCAGCAAAACCAGCCCAAGGGTCACCTGCTCGGTCAAGGAGACCATCAGGGAGTTAAACCCCTGGCCTAGCAGAGGGAAATTATAATTATTTTCCTGTCAGCTTGAAGCAGTTCAATAATCTGAGCCGTAGATGTTAAAAATATAGAATAGTTTATTTATAGGATGAGGAACAAGATGCTCACTTCATCAGCACAGAGGGGCCAGGTGGGATCCAGGAGGTGAGGAATGGGCCCTGGAATTTGGATCTTTAGGAGCCATGAGCACCCTGGGGGGTGTGTGAAGCCCTGCTGTGTGCTGAGCAGGGCTGGCAGTGCCAGGGGGAGAGAGGAGCCTGGCAGAGGCACGAGGACAAACCAGTGGGTCCCACTGCTCCTCTCCATCCCAGCTGCTCCTTGCCCTAAGCCAAGTGGGGAGGGGACTCAGTGGCTCCCTGTCCTGTGTCACACCCCACTCAAACCTCACCAGAAATGTGACCTGGGTGGTTTCCTGTGAAGGAATTGTTCGTTGAAGTGTCTGGAAAGATCCAGATCTGCCGGAGCCAACACGGTTCATCCTCGGTGACACTGGTGGACACAAAGCCCTGAGGTCACAGAGTCACAGAACCAGAGAATGGTTAGTGCTGGAGGGGAGCTCTGGAGATCATCCATCCCAACCCTCCTGCCAAGGCAGGGTCACCTGGAGCAGGTGACACAGGGACACGTCCAGGTGGGTTCTGAAGGTCTTCACGGAGGGAAGGTCCTGGGGATAACTTTGGAATCGGGTAGGAAGGAGCTCTAATACTGTCTGTACCATCCTGTGCTGGCTCAGGCTGGAGGTGGAGGTCATGGCCTGCCGCTGACAGGAGGCACAGCCGAGTGGCCCCTGTGCTGGGACAGCATCATCTCCCAGGTGCTTCGTTCTGGAACTGCTTGAGAAACATTGGAGAGATTAAAGCAAAACTTCACAAGGAGCCTTTCCAGGTCCCAGGCAGGTGGGGGGTGCGTTGAGGAGCAGAGAAGGAAGCTCAGGGAAGAGCTGCTTTTGACTTGTCCTCTGTCTGTGGCCCGTTTTCTGGCTTGGCAGCAATGCTGTAGTAGTAGGAGCGGATTGTGTTCTCCACTTCTGCAAATCCAGGACGTTCTTCCCACCTGAGAGGGCAGAGAGAAACAAGGGGAGTCAACAGAGAGGACAAGAGCAGACTGATGCAATGAGAAGATACCAAACACAGAGAACCTGGGGAGGAACAGCAGCCCAGCTTAGGAGGACAGCTCAGACCGTTCTGGGATGAAGAGGGTCCAAGACACAGAGCTTGGACAATTCCCAGGGCTGGCACAGGCAAATGGAGGAGGATGGCGGTGAAAGGTTCATCATGGGCTGGAGAGAGACCCCAAGGCAGGAGACACCAGCTCTTTGTGTCATCACCATCCAGACATCACCACTCAGCCAGTGCACTCCAACCTGGCCTAGTGGAGCTGTCCCTGCCCATGGCCAGGGGTTGGGATGAGGTGACCTTTAAGGTCCCCTTCCAACCCAAACCATTCTGGGACTCCTGAGCTGGTGGGAGCCTCACCTGTAGGTCCAGCACTGCTGCATGAGGGCGAACATCTCTGCGGGGCAGTTGGTGGGACAGTCCATGCGCTTGCCCTGCTCTATGAAGCTGATCACCTCGGGGCCTTTCATTTTCTAGGATCGAGTGGGAAATGCATTAATGTTCTTGGAGCTGCCACAGGTCAGAGCTGGGCCTGGGGCAAAGCTCTGGTCCCATGAGCCACAGCTGAGCCGCTGTTTCCAACCTCAGCACCCACAGATGGTATCTCGTGCTGTGGCCCATCTTGCAGACCCCATCTTGCCCAGCCCAGAGACCTCATCACACCCATCCTGACAACCCCATCCCTCCCATCCTCCAGACCCCATCCCATCCATCCTCCAGACCCCATCCTGCTGACCCAGACCTCTTATCCAGATCCCTTATCCTGCTAATCCCATCCTGACAACCCCATCCCTCCCATCCTGACAACCCCATCCCTCCCATCCTCCAGACCCCATCCTGCCCACACTGTAGACCCCATCCTGCTGACCCAGACCCCTTATCCTGCTGATCCTCCCCAGCCTGCAGACCCCACCCCACCCAGCCTCGAAACTCCATCCCACCCATCCTGCCAACCCCATCCCACCCACCTTGCAGACCCCACCCTACCTACCCTGCAGACCCCATCCCTCCCATCCTGCAGACCCCTCCCCCAGACCCCACCTCAAGTACAGCAGTGGTTGAAAAGTGACTTTTCAGCTCTGCAAGTGAGCAGAAGGAGCCAAGAGAAGATCTGCTTTGACTCCAACCCAAGTGAATTTAGTTTGTTTTCTATTTCTTCTCCCTCCAGTGAACACAGAGCTGCAGGATCCAACCTCGTGGTGCCTTCCATGAAGGACAAGTGGACCTGAGTCCTTTCCCCTCTGTCCACCAGTGGGAATACCCACTCATGGAAGTAGGAATTGCAGTTTCTGTGTGTGTCAGCTGTGATTGTGTCATCCACCTGTGATGAACCCGGCTCTGCCTCACCTTGTGGGGTTTCTGTCTCACCTTGTGGGATTTCTGTCTCACCTTGTGGGGTTTCTGTCTCACCTTGTGGGGTTTCTATCTTATCTTGTTCAGTTTCTATCTTACCTTGTAAGGTTTCTACCTCGCCTTGTAGGGTTTCTATCTTACCTTGTAGGGTTTCTATCTTACCTTGTGGTGTTCCTATCTCTCCTTGTAGGATTTCTGTCTCACCTTGAAGGGTTTCTGTCTCACCTTGTAGGATTTCATTGTAGGGTTTCTGCCTCACCGAGTAGGGTCTCTATCTCTCCTTGTAGGGCTTCTGCCTCTCCTTGTAGGGTTTCTGTCCCACCTTGAAGGGTTTCTGTCTCATCTTGTGGGGTATCTGTCCCTCTGTGTAGGGTTTCTGTCTCTCTATGTAGGGTTTCTGCCTCACCTCGTAGGGTTCCATCCTCACCTTGTAGGGTTTCTGCCCGTAGCTGAAGGCCTCCCACATGGTCACCCCGTAGCTCCACACGTCGCTCTTGCTGGAGAACTTGTGGTAGTTGATGCACTCGGGGGCGTACCACTTGAGGGGCCACTTCCCTGCTGTCCTGGCCTGCAGCAGAAAACAAAGGGGAGCATTCCCACCCCGAGCTGGGCCTGAATCCTGCTTTGCTAAATGTTTTGTGCCCAGGGCAATTCCTTGCTGCTGAAAAAAAATCCTCTAAATCCTCAACTCCAAACCCCAGTCCTGGAATCTGGAGCTTGTTGTGCAGGATGGGGACCCTCCTGCCACCCTCCTCCTGCACCCCAACCCCAGGGCTGTTTAATCAAAGAGTCATGGAGTGGTTTGGGTTGGAAGGACCTTAAAGCCCATCCAGTCCCAGCCCCTGCCATGGGCAGGGACACCTTCCACTAGCCCAGGTTTCTCCAACCTGGCCTTGGACACTTCCAGGGATCCAGGGGCAGCCACAGCTTCTCTGGGAATTACATCACAGCCCCTCATCACCCTCATAGCCAAGAATTCCTTTCCAATCTCCCATCTCACCCTGCCCTCTGGCACTGCGAAGCCATTCCCTGTGTCCTGTCCCTCCATCCCTTGTCCCCAGTCCCTCTCCAGCTCTCCTGGAGCCCCTTTAGGCCTTGGAAGGGACTCTCGGGCCTCCTTGGAGCCTTCTCTTCTCCAGCTGAACCCCCCAAGCTCTCCCAGCCTGGCTCCAGCCCTGTGATAACTTAGTGGCCTTGTCTGGACTCATTCCAATCTTTCTCGTGCTGGGGGCCCCAGAGCTGGACCCCGGATTCCAGGTGGGGTCTCTGGTTCTCCCTGCTGGGAAGAGCAGTCCTGGCTCACTTTCCATCCCCTTCTCTTCCCTGCTCTTTGCTCTCTGGCTCCTCTCATCCCACTGCACCACGTTCCCCTCGCTGCCTCTGCGTCCATCTGAACGTCCTCCTGGGGAGCCAGAGCTTTGCAATCCTCCTTTTTGAGTGTCCCAGCAGTGAGACCAGCCAGGGTGGGATGTTGTTGTACAGCTCATGTGGAGCACAAACCCCCTTTCTCTGGAGGTCTCAGCCCCCTGCTCCTCACACTTACCTTGTAGTAACTGTCATCAGCACCAAGAGCCTTGGAGAGCCCAAAGTCACTGATCTTGGCGTAGTGCTGGTTGACCAGCAGGACGTTTCTGGCTGCCAGGTCCCTGTGGACAAAGTTCTTCTCCTCTAAGTACTTCATCCCTATGGACACCTGGTGCATCAGCTCCACGATATTGCTGACTGCAATCTCGTCTCTGGGGAAGATGAAGGGACAATTCTTTAGTAAAGGTCCCCTCTGGATTTTCCAGCTTCAAGGGGGAATGAGAAGGGACATCTCTGCTTAGTCCCTCTTATCCCACAGGAAAAGACGTCGCAGCTTCTCTGCTCCTCCAAAGCTCAGCTCACCTGGCAGCAGAAAGTCACCCAGAGATATTTAATTCAATACTCACTTCTTGGAGGCCAAGAACCTGTTGAGGGGCCCCCCAGAAGCCATCTCCATCACCAGCATCAGGGACTCTGCCTCACACACCCCGATCATGCGGACGATGTAGGGGTTGTCCAGCTGGTGCATGATCTGGGCTTCCTTCATCATCTCATCCTTCACTGTTTTCTCGTTGTTGCTCTTCAGCACCTTTATGGCCACATCAATCTGCTTCCTGCAGGAGGAACACGAGTGGGACGAGCTGAGCAGCAGCTGAGTTCAGGTGTCACAGGCAGGAATGCAAAACACTTCTCAGGTGGTGCTGGTTGGACCTCTCAACAGGATGTTTTGGCAGAGCCCTGCACCATCCTGGTATCCCAGGCCAAAGAGCAAAGGATCACCTCACCCTTCTAAGGGTAGGCCAGTAGTTGCCATCTGTAGATCTGAAGGCACAGAACCTCCCACACCAAGATCTGTGTCATTGCTGCCACTCCTCGAGGGGGAAACTGAGGCACAAGGTAAGTAAGGACCATCTCTGTGGGCTCATAGACAACCAGTGACAGAGCCAAGGATGGCACATTCAGGCTCACTCCTTTGCCCTCACATGGACCTGACCTCAGGAGCATGGCCCTGCTCCTCTGGGCACAGGAAACACCTTCAGGGCATTGGAATGAGAGGATCTTTAAGGTCCCTACTCACCCAAACCATTCAGAAGTGGCAGTGGAGTGTGTGGGGCAGGTTCACACTCAGGGGAGTGAGGCTGTCACTGAAAACCCACGAGAAATCATGGAATCATAGCATCACACCATCCTATCATTGAATTATTAGGGTTGGGAAAGACCTCTAAGATCATCAAGGCCGTGCTGTGAATGAATCCCCCATCACCCACTAAACCACGGCACCAAGTGCCACAGCCACTCGTTTTTTGACCACATCCAGTGGTGCTGACCCCTTCATCAGATCCACCACCACTGCCCTTCCAGACCACCTCTTAAAGCTCCACCCCGTTATCATTTTAGGGTCCATCCAGCTAGAAACAGGATAAGTGGGGACACCCCTGAGCCCAGCCCAGATGTGTCCCCTCCAGCTCCCTCCTCCCCCCTCCGGCTAACACTCACTTCCTCATTTTGTAGACTCCTTTCTTGACACAGCCAAAGTTTCCTGCCCCCAGCTCCACTTCATCGATCATCAGGTGGTCCCTCTTGAGGAAGAGTTTCTTGTCCTTCAGCTCCTCGGGGTCGCTGTAGGGGCTCTCGTACACGCTGGTGTCCATGGGCAGCAGGTGGGACTTCCCGGCACCTTCCCGAGGGACACAAGGTTCAGGAACCCCCTGCCCTTCCCCATCCCTCTCTCCCTCACTCATTGGGAAGGTTTTCTCTGCTCTCTTGGCCAGTTCTCCTTCAAGCTCCGGGATTTATCCTCCCTCATGGGCATCTCCCTTCCTTACACGAGCCAGGGCCTGTCCTGGTTCCAGCTGCTGAAGGAGCCAGGATGGGGACAGGTGGCTGAGCATTCCCATTCCACATATCAGACTCTGCAGGGCCTGGGTGTGGGCAGGACGTCATCCCAGTGAAATACAGATGAATCCATGGATTATTTAGGAGGCAGGATGGAAGGTGGGGGTAGGACAGGGCTCGATGGGCCGGGTAAAACAGGGAATGGGATAAGGGTGGATTTACTGGGAGCTCAGAACCCTGACATGACTGGGATGCTCCTGGGTGCCTTTGTAAGATAGGGGTCTACAGGCAACCCCTGTGGCTCCTGTGCCATCCCCAGGTCCTGTCCCCTGCCAGGACGGGGCTCCCAGAGGTGCTCACCCACAGGCTCCGGCGTGTATCCGTCTGCATTGAGGGGGCCCAGGTTCCTCTGGAAAAGAAATGGGGATACAGTGGATGAAGGAGCACAGAGAAACTGCTTCAGTTAGTTAGAAATGGAGAGGGAAGGGACAGGGAGCCTCTGCACCCCAACAGAGCCCAGCTGGTGATGCCCTTAAAAGGCCCTGAGGTGGCACAAGAGATGGGAGGGATAATGAGCCAACATCCCTCTTCCAGTCCTGGCTGGCAGATCCCAAATCAGGGATCAGGCCCTGAGGGATCCAGAGACAGGAATCCTGAACACATCACCCTCCTCCAGTACAGCAGAGAGTGGCAAAGGTGTGGGACATTCATCCAGCACTGCCTGGAGGCACCAGGACGTGGCAGTTTGGGGCACCACGATATAAGATCTGAAACCATCAGTGTCCAAAGGACGGCAGTGAAGATGGGGAAGGGCCTTGAAGGGCAGACCAAGGGTACTTGGTGTGTTCAGCTGGAGAAGAGGAGAATGAGGAGAGACCTCACTGCAGTTCCAGCTTCCTCAGGAGGGGCAGAAGAGGGGCAGGCGCTGAGCTCTGCTCTGGAACCAGGGACAGGAGCCAGGGAAGGGCTGGAGCTGTGCCAGGGGGGTTGGGATGGATCTCAGGGAAAGGTTCTTCCCCCAGAGGGTGGTGGGCACTGCCCAGGCTCCCCAGGGCAGTGGGCACGGCCCCAAGGCTGCCAGAGCTCCAGGAGGGTTTGGGCAACGCTCTGAGGGACAGGGGGGGATTGTTGGGGTGTCCTGGGCAGGGCCAGGGGTTGGACTGGATGATCCCTGTGGGTCCCTTCCCACTCAGCATGTTCTGTGATCCTGTGACTTGGGAGCCCAGCAGGGATTGTGAAAGCTCCTGAGACAATGGGGGAGTGCTCAGGCCTCTCTCAGCTCCACTGGGTTCTGGGATGGGCTCAGAGCCCCCAAACTCCCTGGTTTCAACACAGCTCAGCTCTGGCAGCTGTGACTGAGCCCAGACATGCCCTGAGGCCGAGGGAGGACAAAGACCTGGCCGGGGGCCAGTGGGCTGAGCGTTCCCAGAATCCAACCACGTCTTCCTCGCTCCTGCCTGGCAAGGAGGGCAGGGGCAGAGGCCTTCCCAAGGGTATTGCAAGGAGCTCAGTATGAATGGAAACCATTTTCAGCTCCAACAGTAGCTGTGCCCAGCGATTCCTCATCCCCACCCCAGCTGGAAAAGGGACAGTGTCACAGCTGGGCTTAATATAGTCCCTTGGAGTTACCAGGTTTTAGGGAAAAGCAGAGTTTGGAGAGCAGAGTTTGATCAGCAAAGCTTGAAATGCAATAGTATTAAATCACTGAGGTACCAATAAAAGAACCCCTACCCCCCCCCAAAAAAAAAATACTTACACTCACAGAGGGGTGGGCTGGTGGAGCTGGTGCTGCAGATGCTGCAAAATCAGGAGAGAGAAATTAGGAGTTTGCATGAGCTTAAGCAGGATCAGAGCAGTCCTTGAAGGGCTGTGTCTGATCACATCCCCCCCCCACCCCCCAAAGGACAGTTTTCACAGCTTTAGCAAAAAAAAAATAATAAAAAAAAAAAGGTGTGGAAAGGTGTGGGTGTTATCCCTCACCTGGCATGTTGGGGTTGGGGCAGGTTTCCTTCAGGTAGAAAATCAGCCCGTCTGGTTTGAGTTTTAGGTACTCCACCAACTGCAGGAGGAAAAAGAGATTATTGTGAGGAAAAAAATCACCCCTTTTTTTACTGAAGGCAACTTTGGTGGTTTATGGCAATAAGATTTATGGCAGGCAAGGTCTAGAATGTTTCTGTCCTCTGTCTAAGAGGAGATCTGCTCACTCAGGGATGTCCTGCAGTAAGGGCTTGTATATTTGGATACCTGCCAGAGCTGGGAAGAACTTTGGAAGTTAGATAAGGACCAAAGAAAGACAAAAGGAAATCTCCTTTTGAGAGATTTTCAGCGTAATATTATTGTCCCAGCCAGAAAGGGTTTTTTAAGTCCTGCTGTGTTTGATAAGGCCTGAGAGAAACTTTTTGCTTTCCCAGAGGAACTCCAGGGTTAGCTCTGAGGACCCCAGGCAGCTTTTCCCTGCAGCACCACTGGTCCAAGCACGGTGGGGATTTGACTCTGGCTGGAGACAACCAGCCCAGGCCCAGCCACTGGACCACAGGGACACAAGGCTTTCTCTTCCCCTCCTGTCTGGCTCAGATTTCAGCTGCAATTGAGAGCCTGGCGTGGTTCTGTTGCCATAAAAATGCCCCCAAGTCTTTGTTTTCAATCAAACTCAGAGTGAAAACAGTCCTGGGAATTCGGAACATTCAGCAAAACAGAGTCACTTGTCCCCCCCCAGGCAGCCCTGCCCAGGGGGGAGCTCTGGGATCTGCTCCCTGGAGCAGGTCTGAGGTGGGTGCCAAGGGGCACAGCTGGGCTCTGGGGGGACATGGACCCCTCAGCAGTGCCAGGAGTTGCTGGACCCTGTGACTCATTCCCTAAAAACCCACCCCCACCTTCATGAGGATTGCTGGGCCATCCCAGCCACGTCCACCTCCCACTCTCAGGGGTGACAGGATGTGTCTCCTGCCACTGGGATCTCCAGCCACATAAAGATCTCAGCAGCTGGCTCCAGACTTCTGCCCTCCCCTACTCCCTGCACAGAAATCAGTCCCTTGGAACGTGGTTTGGCAATCTGTAGCCAACAGTTTTGCCAGTCTGGGAGCAGTTTGGGGAACACACGGGAGGGACAAGGTGGAGTGAGCAATTTCAGGGTTTTCTGGAAGGGAAAACAACCCACACCACCACCCATAGATGCTTTTAAAGCCTTTAAAGGTCCACATGCCTTTCCTGTCCCTCAAGGCAGCTGCAGTTGGTCAGAGCCTGGTGCTGGTCACACCAAGGCAGTGGTTTTGATCCCTGTATGGGCCATTCACTTCAGAGCTGATGATCCTCCCCTCTATTTCCAGCTCAGAAGAACAAGTGAAAAATGCCTGTGCTTTCTTAGACACCAATTTTCAGCACCCCCAGCACTTTACCTGCCAGAGTGTGTCGAACTTGGTGCCCTCAGGGATGGAGTATTTGCCAGACTTGTCCTGGTCCACCCTGTAGTGATACACGGTCTTGCCATAGACAAGGGACAGGGCGTAGGCACGGTTCTCCTTCCTTTCTCGCAGCCTGGGAGGAAGGAGGACTATTAAAAGTAGCTCTAGAACTTGCCCTGCAAGTTGTCGTGGTTGCCAGGGGTGGGTGGGCACATGGAAAAGTGTCCCTGAAGCCACTGATGGACCTTCCTGACCCCCCTCTGAAGATGCCAAGGGGGATCCTTCAGCTGCCAGGGTTTGCCTCTCTCATGGAACCCCAGCACGGTTTGGGTTGGAAGGGATCTTAAGGATCAAGTTCCACACCTCTGCCATGGGCAGGGACACCTTCCACCAGCCCAGCTTGCTCCAACCTGGCCTTGGACACTCCCAGGGATGGGACAGCCACAGCTTCTCTGCCCAACCTGTTCCAGGGCCTGCCCACCCTCCCAGCCAAGAATTCCTTCCCAGTATCCCATCTGAATTTCTCCTCTTTCAGATTAAACCCATTCCCCCTTGTCCCATCACTACAGTTCCTGATGAACTGTTCTCCAGCTAATTCTCCCTTTGCCTGACTCATTCAGGAGATAATTCAATTAAGGGCTGTCTCATCTTGGCAGAGAAGCAGAGCAAACGCTTTCTCCTGTGTTTTATGGGCCATACATTGCCAAAGTGTCAGTGTTAAATGCCTTCATCAACTGAACCCTATATTTCATATCATCCAGTGCAGTGGAAAGCACATTTCATAGAGATATTTCAACATGAGAAATAAATAAAGCTCAAGGTTGGCTCTTCACAGAGTCCAGACACTGTCGGGGCAATGACAGATTTGGGGGCTCAACCCCTGTCTTTGAAATATCTGTAACCAGCCTGACCATAGTCAGCTAAACCTCTCAGAACTACCATGTGAAAGCAACAATTACAGGATGGTGGAGGTGGAGGAAGGTTAAAAAGCACAGGCTTTGGATACTCACAGGAATTTCCCGTCAGGCTGTGCCCCCGAGTAGAGCCTCCGTTCAGCCTCGTCCCGGGTGATGCTGCCGTGGTACCAGGGCATCCTCTCATGGGCTGTGGTGGCAACCAGCTTCTCCACCTGTGGAGCCTGGCTTATGATGGCCTGTTCCAGTGCATCCCCCTGGAAAAGAGTGGGAAATGAGACCTCCTGCTGTTCTGCTGCGCTGTTTCGTGGTTCAGCACGGTTGATTTTGCACCAGCTGGGGTAGATGACACAGGAAACTTGGAGGGTCTCCCAATTAAAGGGCCTGTGACCCAACAATGGGTTGAATTCTGTACTGCTACAGAGCAGAATTCTTTGCTTCTCTCAATTGACCTCATCCCTCGAATCCAGCTGAAGTCCATTGACTTGCTGGTGAGGGAAGAGAAAATCTTCGTGTTTACGTGGTGGAACTTGATGTCAGGGTTGTGGGGTGTCTTTTGCCTTTGCATTC